CCTTTTGGTCAAGTCACACCACCAGCCACACTCCAGAGTGAGTACATCAGAACCCCTGTTGTCCCCACAGGGTCCTTTTGGTCAAGTCACACACTATTTTCAAGGCAAACAGGGGAGATGCAAGTCCAAAGGCTGTTTGTCTCCCTCTCCTGGGAGTGGAGCTGCTGTCCAGTGAGTGGACACGATGACCTGTCACAGGCCAGGGCCTGGCTGCCCAGGGCCCGGGAAACACATCCAGAGGCCTCCGCCCTACCTGGGACCGTCCCATTCTCATCACACATGGCATCACACTCAGTCCCAAAGACAACTGCAAAGCCCTCCCCTCCCGCATGCCTTCCAAGACGGACAGATAATAAGAAAATTCAAATTACTGGGATGCAGAAGGGGGAGGGTTAAAGCAAGAAAAACAAACAGCCCATTGAGTTTCCAGAAGGCCCTGTGCTCCTCACAGTCCCTAGGCCTCCCAGCGGCTTCTCTCCCTGAGGCCTGAACGGCGTCACCAATTTTTACTTTGAAAAAAAGAATCCAATTAATCTTGTCAACACCCCCTGGGACACAGGGCAGGGCCAAGGATTCATCCTATTTTCTTATTTATTTGATTTAAAAATTTGTCTCCGGGATATTCACTTCAGGGCATATGCAAGGGCTTGGGAATTCACCCAAAACACACACACCTCCAGTGGTGATGGGCCAGCAGGCGGGCGGACGGACGACTCCAAGGACACGCTGGGCTGCAGCTGCTCCAGGGCCTGGATGCTCCCCCGAATCACTCAGAGGACCCCCTCTGGCTGTAGGGACCCGCCCCCGCATCCCATTTGAGGCAGCAAGAGGCATCCGGCCCCGTGCCCATGGGAGCACGCACTGGGCCCGGGAAAGTTGTCTGTCCAGTCGGTCGCCTTCTTGCACAGACAAGAGCGAATAATGACGTCCCTCCTGGCTGAGGGCTCCAGGAGAAGCTGTTCACCAGGAGAGAGGCTGCTATGGCAACTTGAGAATGGAGCCAGGCACTGCCGTCACCTTGAATCCGGCACCGTGCATTCTGTCACGGCAGCGAGAGGCTGTGCACCTCCACCTCTCCCTGCGCTGCAGACGGCGGCTGGCGTCTGACCTCCGGCTTCCCTCCTCAGCCTCCTGGCCTCAGTAACTAATCTGCTTCTCACTGAAACGGAGCTCACAGCCC